CCCCAACCCTGACACTGGGAGAGAAAAGAGGCCAAGGCAGAGTGACACGTGAGGGCAGAGACGTTTGCTCTCCTGTCTCATGAGGATGAGGGCAGGCTGGTTGAAGAGTTTATTCCCATTTCTCCTTTTGCACTTCCAACACAGGGATTTATTTGAGCACTGACCAATGCACACGGGAACTTACATGCACGTTAATAGATCCAAAGAAAGAAAAGCATGGAGTTGCATTTTCAAACAGTATTAGCCTAGCAAACCAGGCACAGCCTCTCACACAGCTGGCATGCATCAGCAATCAAACCCTACACTCATATAAGCCCGCCCAAATCAGCATAACCAAGTGAGAAACTGACCCACTGGAATCAACTTGCACTGTGTTGGCCTTTACCTGCAAGAACTGGGCATAATATCTGCACATACGCAAACACTAACATATCTGTGTTTTAAGATCGGTTCTACGATCAGTTCTAAACCAGTTCTAGGACTGACAGATTCTTCATGTAATGCTACAGAGCAAAATGCAAACACAGCAAACGCAAGGCCCCATGCAACCCCAGGAGTGGGCAACACAGCCAGTGCAGCATCATGGCCACGCTACGGGCCTGGTGTCTGTACTGCTGTAACCTGTTATCAGCCCTGGGCTGAGCAGTCAGCTTCTGCTCAGCTCCATCTGCCTGCTCAACTGTGTAGAATGTGTGATAAACATAAATCCTGCATATCCCAGAGACACTTTGTTCAGAGATTCTCAATTTCTAATGCTGTTTTCAGGGATAAAAACCTGGTGCAGGTGGTGGGGAAGAAGAAGAGCCAAATTCCTAGCGGAATTCTGGAGCCAGCTTCCTCACTAAATATCATTCTGGCTTCACTATAATGCCTCCCACCACAAGAGTCTGGCTGCAAGAAACGCTGTTCTCTCCAAAGCCCAAGAGCTCTACCCAGGATTTTTCCAACTGTATCTGTCATTCCAGATGACTGGTGAAATTGCTTGAACCCTCAAGATACTGCAGTGCTGCTAGAAAAGTCAAGACACTGTCTGAACTCAACAGGCGGACAGAGTTGGATAAAATTTACAGAGCAACTCTACCACAAACTTGTACCACCATCCGTTACCTGAAGTCTGGAATATGTGCTATACTAATTTTGCCTATCTTCACTTTCCATTTCAGACAGCTTTTAGTAACGGCAGAATGCAGAGTTGACAAATATTCTGCATCCAAGCAACTCAGGCTCCCATTTATCTGAGTGACTGAAGAGGCCGGGCGATGCCTGGGCAGGTACAGCGTTTCACATTCCAGGCTGGCAACGTTCCTTCATCTCAGATAACACACAGACCTATTTTAAACTCTCTTTCCTCAGTTCTACAAATAAAAGCTCTTATTGGAAGACAGAAAATTATTATTCTTCATTTTTTGTTACCTCAGTTTTAAGAAAAAAAAAAGCATGAAAGACAAAAATCATCCAAAAAAATCCAAACGGGCTTTTTTCAGAATACAACAAAGTACACCGAGTGTTGGTCTCACTCACCTTAGTTTTTACTACAGCTATTCAGCTTTCTCAATGGTTTCTTGATTATTCTCTTGAGTTCTAACACCCATAAACTTGATTTTACAGTACCAATGCAAATACATACAAGCCACACACTCTGCAGGAAAAATGAATGAGTCTGCTACCATTATCTATTTACCAGCCACCAGCTGCACTCACACATACTTGCACCGCAGGTGCCCAGCAGCATTTAAAATAGAGAAAGCTTAATTTCTCTACTTGTAATTGTACTTTCAAATCTAAACCACACATATTATTTAAATAATTATTCAAAGAATGCTACGGAGAAAAGAAAAAAAAAAAGCCGCTGGATAATTACACCTATGCCTGTGTTTAATATGAAAACACAAGTTTCATAATATTAAAGAGACATTTCCTGTCAGCATTGGTGGCATCCTGGAGCTCCAGCTTGTGCAGCCTGCCAGTCACCATAGATAGCGTTCTCACGCCATCTCCCACTGTCTTTGGGGCTTTGTCCCCAAAAATAACCCAAAAGACACTGTACCAACCATGGCCTATTTACAGCAAACAGGTTTTAAGAGAAGAACAGCAGGAAAGATAGCTCCTAAGTGAGCAATCGATACTTCTGTCACCAAACACAACTGTCTAGGCCACTGGCCTCTCAGCTCAGGTGGTCCATGAGTCACCTCACTTTTGAGTTTACTCAAACCCATCATGGGCAGCACTACACATTGCTAAATGTCCTATAAAGAGTGCATTCAATTCCAAAACCATTTCTGCGATCATGGAAAATAAGAGATTGAGCCATCATCAGTGTGATACTGAAAAATAAACCAATAGGCTTTTGCAACTACAGTTACAGTTTTGCAACTACAGCTGGTAGAAGTTCCTGATTCCATCAGGCACCAGTTTGGCAAGCGGTAACTTAGGTGCTTTCTGCTACTTGGCCTACTCTTCATTCGTTTTTTTTTCTGAAGCCTAGCACTAGCACAGGACTCCCAGAAAGCAATCTACAACTCTCTGTCCCTTTCCAGGGAACATTATAAAGCTCTCAGCTCATTTGAATGACCTTACATTTGAAAAGAACTTCACTTTATTGATGCACTGCTCCACATAGGATTTTTTCCTAAATCTACATCAAACAAGGAAAAACAAATGCTGAGAGGGTAGATTTAGGGCAATTTATCAAGGTCTGGGAAATAGCTTCCAGATGGATGGAGCTGTTCGGAGCTGGCTGGTGAGAAGGAAGCAAGGTATTGTTACTGAATTAGCATCAATCTCTGGTGGAGAACTGTGTGGTAGATAGTGCTCCTTTCATATGGTTTGCATTTGGACCTGTCAAATTTCCTTTTTATTCAAAAACCTGTGGTAAAGACACACAGTTCTCTTTTGTTTATTAAATTTCAACCAATTCTTCCTGTACTGTTATCCAGAAAGTATTTTTAAACTCGGCTCTAAGTGTGGTGCCTGGGTCTGGTTGCTCTTTGCCATGCTTGCATGACAGCTTGGTTTCATGCACATGAGTGGTTTTAGGTTTTATGTTCACACACTGAATGTCACCTGAGAAAGTGTGAGAGAGAGGAGAAAAGCTGGATGCTATCGGAGATGTTCAAAGTGAGTCACTTCAAGAGTTTATCAAAACCTAAGTAAAATGATGCATACTGAGGTCTAAAGTACACTACAAAGTGATTGTTAATATAACTAGAGGATTATCAATGTAATTATTCTTGTTAATAAATCCTTCCTTTGTAAACATGTCTTAGAGCAGTGTAAGTGCATATATACAAGTACATTTGCCAATACAGAAAACTATACAAAAAGGGAGAAAAAACTAAAGGCAAAACTAGGATATGCTCATAACCAACAGATTTCTGCTTTGAACTACCTGGATATCTGTTCCACTTATACAGTAAGACATACACAAAGATTTATGTGTTTTCCTGGTAGTTTTGAAAGCTTTTACTTTTCAAGTTGTCCTAACAGTCACCTAGTTCCATCTGAAGAATTCAGCCTAGTTTAGGTTAAATATAAATCTAAAATGACTGTTCTATTAACCTGAGGAGATAATTGATCATTGTTACCAGTTAGTTAGTTTCAGTTGAATGAATTTTTGACAATTTGGTCGTTTAAGACCCCAGAAAAGTTGCTGGTTGATATGCCAATGTGTAGTAGGATTTTTTATGAGAGGAAATTTCCAATGGCTATTTCAATTATTTAGGAAAACTCTTATTACTCTGAAGTAGCAAGCGTGGGGGTCACTGGGGTGAAATAGAAGATATGAACTTTATAATTTCCCTTTTCCAGTGTTTCAGGGATCTACCACAATTACTCTGTTACCATCTGGGACATATCCTAGGCAAACAGAGATGGTGATACCATCAGAACAAACTTAATTCCTAAATCTTACTTGAAATATAAGACATGGATACTCGTGCTTACTTCCTACACTTATACCTGGGTTTGCCCTTCTTTTTTAATTTTTTTATTTTTTTTTGCCTATATTTCTTATTACTCTGTGTTTCATGAGCATCTGCTTCAGCAGACCAGGACTCTAAGAAATATCCAATGACGCAAGTAAACTCATAGTCTACAAGATGCAGCCTACTTCTTTGGCCATAACACCCGAATTCCCTCAGACTGTGAACAGATCATATGCCTCATTTATTACTTATACTTAATCCTTCAGCTACTGTGTAGACAGTAAGCTAGGTTTCCAGCTATATCAATTTTGAAACAAAGTCTTGGTAGCCTTAAGCTCTCACGATGTGTTGTTAACAACGGAAGTTACACATCAGTACTGAAGAAACTGCAATCCTCAATGACACTGTCTTCCAATTTTCAAATGTGTTATCAAGAAACCGATGCTGCATGCTCACAGGGCTTGGCATCTACAGAATTGCACATCTGCAGATCACACTCTGGACATCAGTGCTGAGAAGTCAGAAACAGGTGAGCTAGTGGCTGTCTCCAATCAGTTATCACTTTTCTGCCTAGGTGAGGTGGATGTAAGCTAGCAAGTATTAACATTCTGTCACCACGGACTAAACTTGCCCTTAATTCTCATCTGAAATGCCTCCTCTTTGGCCTGGCAGCCTATGAAATGTTTATCTTGCTGCTGGCAGAAGAAATAAAAAGGAAGATAAAATCAACTTGCCATTTCATATGGATGTCTACATAACAGAATTACAGAATGCCCAAGGTTGGAAGCGACCTCTGGAGACTGTCTAGTACAACCAACCTGCTCAAAGTCGGGTCAACCAGAGCAAGCTGCTCAGGATGATCTGTGTAGTCACAGCACAGAGAGAAATGTCTTTCGTGTTGCACAGGATAAAATCTGTAGTGGCACGCAGTTGAAAGGTCACACACAACCTGCTTGAGTAAGGGATCTTTTGAGCTCAGTTGCCTATGAAACTGACTTCTCATGGTACAACAATTAAGAAAACAGAAGGGATGGGGAACACTTCATTGCCTGTCATGTAGTTCATTCGGAGTCATACCTTGAAGCCAAAGGGGCAAGTGCATTGATAAAACCCCACTGGATCATTGTTGCATGTCCCATTGTTCTTACATGGATTGGAGAGGCAAGGGTTACACTTGGACACAACGCTGATATCTACTGGCTCTGGAAAGGCAAAACACAGTGTATTAATAGAGAACTGGCTTACAAAACTAATACTTCCCATACTCACATATACATCTTTTCCTAATGCAGTATTTACCCTGTGTTGGCATAAACACACATGCTGTGGGTGCAACTTTACACAACAGCATGGGGTTCCTGGGGATTAGAGAAATTTTAAGTACTTAAATCAAGTGCTAGGCAAGTCTCAATGATGCTTATATTCTCCTGGAAATGCAAACTTCAGCTCTGAAAAAACCACGTTGGGAATCTCCAGAGAGTGGGTTTATATGTATACGGCTTTCAGCAATTTTCTTCTTCTCAGTGCTGGAAATTCTGGAATAGCAGCCCCTAGTGAACTATAACATGACATTTCTATAGCTGGTAACAAGAATAAGAGTACAGATGCAACAACAGAAATGAATATGGGAATATTTAGGTGCAAAGCATTCTACCACCCCTATTTTTAACAGAGTTCAAAACTTACTTTCTTCCTGTTCCGCCCAGAAGAACTATAGTTCAACATTCAGCTATCATGGCAAAACACACAAAGATAAATATGCAAAGATGTAAATGTATGCAGGTAAACATACATGGCTGTATTTAAACCATTTAATAAACCACATTTTTAAACAGAACTCTGCCACAGAAGTAGTGATATTTGTGGGTGAGCAGGAAAATTAACACAGATCCAAAAAATACTAAATATATTTGGGGTACCAAGTCAATCAATATTTTATTGTTGAGAAAGCTAATTTAGACACTTGTATTTACAGCTAAAGAAATGGTGATTCTGTAGTGGCTAAATTTCAAATATTAATGAGTAAACAGCTTTTGCAAGTGAAACACTGCAACACTTTAAATGGACTAACACTTTAAAAGGGCTTAAATTATATCAGTCAGTAAAGATCCTAAAATAACTTTATTTTTAAAGAAATATGTTTTAAAGTAACTTAAAATTGGTCCTGTGCTAGTCAAAAGTGGGCATGGAGCTTCAGTTACTGCATGGTAATGATAAAGAGTAAATTGTGAAACATCCTGAAAGTGGAGAAAAGAAACTTATACTCGATGTTAGAGAGGAGGTGGAGCTGTAGGAAATTACCCTAACTAGGGATTAAAACATCCCTTTCAGTCAAGGATTTGCTTTGCACTGCCCTGTACGAGATGTAAACCTTCATTATTAACTGAATACTGGCACAGCACCAATGGGGGGTAAGAACATGACAGAAATGGGTACCAAGGAGGCTCCAGCATCTGAAATGTAAAGGCTATATGCTGACCCTATACTGACGGCCGTGTTACCAGGGCCACCAACTGCAGAGTGCAACAGGCAATGGTCTGGTACAACGTGATGAAAAAAGCACACAAGAAGTAACAAATTCAAAAAAAGAAATAAAATAATCTTGTCATCCTCTTCTATCTTCTAGTTTCTGTCTAACTAAGTGCCATATGTGTTTTTAACTTGCAGTTAAGAAAGGAAGAGGAAATAACATCTGAATTCCTGGCACTGACCAGCTGGAATGTGACACATCTTGAGGTACTTTTGTCTTGAAGGTAAAATATATAGAGAATATAGGAAGACAGCTCCTTGCAGAGCTCATCAGACAGGCAGCAGTGCTGGTCTTCTACATTCAGAGATCACTAAGCCATATTTTTTTCTCTTATTTATTTATTTCATAATAAACACATACATTTTCCATTTATTCCTATGGCATAGATCAAAGCTAATCAATGTAGGAGCTAATAAGAAGAGTGCTAGTTCCTAGCAGTTAAATAATTCATTAGTTTGCCCTTGTGGATTTGATTTATAAATCCATATAGCAAAACGCCCTCAGCCTAGCACATTCCCTTCCTCTACTAGGAATAACTAGGAGGGCGATTTAATAAAAAGCAGAGCTGAGTTTGCATGACTTGCACATTACATACTTTTATTTTCTTGGCTCTGCTAAGACATAACATAACTTGCTCAGTCACAGGCTAAAAACATAATTTTAACAACTGTAAGTTAAACTCTTTTTTTTTCTTTGAAATGTCAAAGTTACTGGAGGACAGAGGATATCTATGCACTGCCTTTACAAGCATACAAGCATATCAAGGTGCCAAGTCCAGCATGGGCACAAACACTCCAGGCTTTTAGGGGGCAAAGACTGCCTTGAATTAGCAGTGAGCTAGGACTGGATCTACATGGCAGGGGTGCAGACACTGGCAGGTCCTCTGGCACTGTGTCACCCCGCAGCCAGCCTTACACTTCTGCTGACAGGCACAGGCACAGCTCAGCGAGGAGAGGAGAGGGTGACACTGCTGCAGGACACACCTAGACCTTGCTGGTCCCTGTCACAGGCCACGCACACGGCTCCAGCCCGAGGACAAACCTGCACTGAACACTGTCATCAATCTGGTTGTTTTACCATAAAAGAGCATCACTGAAGTCCAGACAGAATGGTGTGAGGCATTGGATCTTATACATGCACATAGGAAATGGGTTCAGTTAGACTGCCAAATCATGCCTTCCTTTTCAAAATAAATGCATTATGATGAGAAAAGTGAACAAGTACATTATTTGGTATTTTTAGTGTTTAGTGTATATTTAGTGTATTTTTAGTTCATATTTGAGAGACTATTATAAAGCCTGTATTTCTGACAATTATAGTCAGAGTTCTGATAGTTTTGAGACTGATATTTCAAAGTACAGGTTACAGTTATTAAAAATATATTTGAAAGGACATAACATTCAGCTCAGGCATGGGAATTTGTGTTCTAAACTCACCTCAATTCCTTCATTTGTTCAGCAGTTTAATCTCAGCCTCTATAAAATCATACTCCCAAGCAGCACTGTAAATATGCATGGCATTCTGAGAGACAAAAACACTGACTTTGCACCCTCATTTCCTTTTCTATGAGAGGCTATTGAGCCATCTTTTCCACTATAAATACACCTCCATCTTTACATATTTACTGGTAACCTAAGTGAACCTCCAAAATATTTTTTTTACAATGAGAACATACAGGTTCATCCTAATCTACATTCAGTAATACACTACTTTATCCTCAAGAAAGCATGCTCCGTATCATTTTTTGAGGTGCTTGCCAATGCAGCATACTCCTACCACTGCCTGCCCTCGCAGTCAGGAGCTGCTACTCAACCCTCTCTTGAAGGAATGGACACTACATTCAGACACAAAACTTCTTCTATAATCTACAGTTTCTGATAAAGAGCTGATAAGGACTGTATACAGAAGAGTTCTCATTTTCTCACTTTTCACATAAATGTATATAATAACTAGAGTGCTCTTTATTTTTAAAATAATCCTTACTTCTGTTTTCTGGGGCAGTTAGAAGGCCAAAACCAATCTATTTGCTCAAATAAGTTCTAACAACATCCTATATGCTAACTGGCCATTATATAAGCTGATGCAAACAACAGGAATAACTAATTCTTCTGGGGTTTGCTGTTTTCCCTTCCAGTGGTGCAGTTATCTGCCAGTTCTGGAAGAACACTTGAAAATGAAACTTGAATGTAATGGGATGGCTCAGAAAATGAAAGCCAAACCCAACTCCCTCCCAAAGTCACTTTAAAACACACCACCTTCCAAGAGTATAAAGATGAAGCACAGTAGATGAGAAGAAGCACCAGGGCACAACTGAGCCTCCCAGCTTACGCCTACCTTTGCACTGGAAGTGGTGGGTGGGTGTTGTGAGCAGCAGTCTGTCCACCATGGCGTCAGGCCCGCTGCAGCGTGCGATTCCAGGCTCCTTGTACCCCGCCTTCACCCACTCAGAAAGCCAGCGGAGGCTGCAATCACAGTGCAAAGGGTTGGTACCGAGAGCCCTGCAATGCAACACAATGGGTAGCAGTTACTTTGGCTCACAAGCAAAGAGAATATCCCTGATTGTATTCTATGCTTTTACAGGAATGTTTTACTTCAAAATGTGGGAAAGATCTTCTGAGTATTCAGGAAGTCTTTTAGATTTATCTACTCCAGTATTCCCACTCTTTTCCTTTCTTCCCATCATTAGTTAGGGAAGTTGTACAAATACCTAACAACAAATCACTTTTTCAAACAACTATGCTTGAGCAACGTCACCAGACATACTACTTTCATCAAATTTGTCACACTGGTTTGTGATAAAACCAAAAACATGTTGGAGGGGAAATCAAGACAAAAACCTCAGTAAATTTGTTGATACATTTCTATTGGAGTGGCTAACGAACCCACTGTGCCCTAGACAGATTCATAATGAGAGTTCATGGGTTCAAACCCTGTCTAGGGCTCATTCATCAAAATTAAATGTGTACTGCAGCACAGTATTAAAAAATACTCACCCATTCCTGTAAATCTATTGCTTACAATGGAAAAAAAACCACTGCGTTGACTTTTTGAGCCTGTAACTGCGATCAACTGGCTCACTTGTCCAAGGTCAAACAAAAGTTGGACTGAGAAACTAACTGTGGTGTTGAGCAACTGCCATATATAAAATGGGAGTGGGAGAACAACAGAAAGCTAGTTACCATGTTAATTAATCTTTATAAACTACATTAGTAATAAAAGCTGCTTTACAGACACTAAAAATGATTAACAATAACATGGTTGTACAACTGCAGAAATTATCACATGTATCTTTTTGCTCTTTGGTTTGTGTGCCTTTCCCCCCCCCCTTCATTTCTAGGAACTTTAGTGAATTCCTGGGTTTTCATTCATTAGTTCTAACATACTCTATTTCTTTGCACATTATAGGAAAGTACTTTCAGAAGGTAAAAATATCTTGTGCTGTAATGAAAAGCCACCACCAGAATTTTCAAAGTGTTGTGCAGATACTTCAGTTTAGACACAGGGTTTTTTTGTTTTTGAGGCAACATAGAATAAAGTAAATTAAAGTAACTCTATCAATGATAATGTGGAGAAACAGAGGAGGGGACAGCTTATTTGTACCCCAACAGATTTTGGGTTCTTTTTAAGTATTAACAGATGTGATCCTTCAGTAGTGGTGTAATATTTTTATCATTGCCCTGGAGTAAACAAGCTGTTAGAAACATGGCTTAAATAGACCATTATATGTTCAAGTAAATAGTCCACAAAACCGGTGTGTGTATACCATATACAAACCTTCCTCCATCTATAGTGAAATGTATCAGCTACATAGTTTGTTATAATAGTTAAACTACAACAACATGATGTTTACAGTGTAAAGGACATTTGGTGGATATTTTCTTGCAGGCTTTAAACAGCCACGAAAAAAGTAACTGCAGTACCTAGATCTCAGTTTTGTTCTTCCAGTTACAGACCAATTTAAAGTTATTACAAAAGAATGACTAAAATCAATAGTTTTGTCTATGTTACGCAAATATTTATTTGCAATTCTAAAGGTTCGTTTGATACTCTCCCCCAAACTGTACTGATGCAGAAGGCCCAGGCTGACCATCCTGCTCAACACCTTGCTGGTCAGCTTTCTCTAGCCATAATGCCCCTTCCACTCTTAGCCACACAGCTTGTAAATTTAACACAAAATTCTGTTCTTCCATGCATTCTGAGTCTAATGAGTAGGAACCCCAGAATTCCTAAAATTATTCCAAGTGCATGCTGTTTTCTTCAAGATCTATGTATCAGGAAGAGTTCAAAATGAATTTATTTTCAATTAACACTTGACTTGAATAAGCACAGCTTTTTCACAGAATCACAGAATCACAGAACGTTAGGGATTGGAAGGGACCTCAAAAGCTCATCCAGTCCAATCCCCCTGCCGGAGCAGGAACACCTTTTTCTGGCATGTGAAGTGCAAAGTCATTGTGGTTGCTAAAAGTTTGAGAATACTCTTTAAGAAACTGGACAGCACAATTGCACTGTAAAATTCAACTGTTCAACTGTTCAAATTACACCACAGACAAGTCTTCTTTATTTTATGGATCCTATTTATGACTGTTCATTTGAGCTTTGTGTATTTTACATTTCTGGCATCACATATATCTAAACAGATACACTGCAGTGATTGCACTGGGACAAAGGGGTTTTATCACTCCCTAAGGTAAATGGTTTATGCAGGAAAATGGTATCTGCACTTCATTTAAAGTAAACCCTCGGGAAAATCCAAACAAATGGGGCATGACACGTTTTATCTCCTGAGTTCTAAAAATACCCTCAGAAGCCAGATTCCCAGGCTGGAAGGTGTCACTGCTCTTCCAAAGACAGGGACATGGCTTCAGCTCAGAGTTTCATTCCTAAACAACATGATACAAAATAATTTGACTGTACTGAGAATGGGATGAAGAAGTACATTTTGTGTAAAACTAATATTTTCCCTGACTTAGATACTAAGATGTAAGCCTGAAACAGAGAAAGCTATTTCTCAGCTGAAGTTGAAATTGCATAAGTTGCTCACATATGATTTCTGTCTCTACCAATCTGAGATATCTTTATTTTTTATTGTCCAAAGAGAAACTGAGACAGAAAGTTGTTACACAGAAATAAACAGTCCATGGACATATTTGTCATCCAGAAAATAAGTAAATATGAACTGAGCCTTGTGTTCAGGTAAGAGTTCTGGAAGGCACGTTTAAGGTTGCAAAGAGAGAAACAACACTATAAAAACCTACGTTAAATGCACACATATCTGTTTGTGTGTCTTGATGTGTGCATATATCAACATCAACTCATGTGCAAGAGGGGAGCATCAGAGCAGAAAATACAAGTAGCAACTTGTGAAACTAGTCATTTTCCAATATGGCCAAAACATTCTCAGTCCTCTGATACTTGAGGACACTAATCAAGAAACATGCTACACAAAATTACTCTTCCTTTACATCTACTGTCTAATAATGTGAAGTATCATGTGTTATCTCGGGGAGAAAAAGATATTCTGTTCACTCTTTTGGCACTGTTACACTTCAGGTTATTTTGTAGCAGTTGCAGCTATTTGTCTTTACAGTACTTTCAACTGAACTACATTAAAAAATATCCTGGACCTCCACCAATACAACAGTAATTTGCTGAAATAATCTGAAATGTCTAACAATTTCTGCAAATTATGGAATGAAGCATTAATGCTGTGAAATGACCAGTTTCCATATGATTAAATATATATGTCTGAAGTAGTCATTCATCAACAAGTTCACATACTGGTATTTCAGTATGCAAAACATATGACACTTATTAAGCAAGGAATTCACATTTGCTTAATATTTATTCTTTGTGGGAGGTTTCCTGTCTTGCTCTCAGCCCATACCACACTGCATTTCACAGAGACAATGCTGAAAGAAAGCCTTAAACACAAAGGCCACAGAAAAGGAAAGCGTCACATTTGCTCATTTGGTTTTCCTTAAGAAAATATTTTGGTAACCAGTAACAACAGGTTCTAGTATTTTTTTATTTCCTTTGAACAGAATCACTATGAACATCCAGAGCAGAATATGGAAAGAGAGCAGGACAAACAGAAAATCTATACAATCTTAAATTTGTAATAATATGTACTGTTTTATAAACGTGAAACAGTCAATCAAACAGCTGAACCTGGACAGAAGTACTTACAGATGGGACAAGGACACCAAGTCATTGAAAGAACCTTCGGGAACACTGGAAATATCATTTCCATGGAGCGTCCTAGAAGAGGGAAGAAGCAGGAAGGCATCAAACACCAGCATTTTCTCTGCTCCCTACAAGTGAAGGAGTTGGTGCTTCTGAAGGATATTTAATGTTTCTTTGAGAGTTTCTATAAGCTTCACAACTCATGAGCTTCCATGATTTATTACTTCTACTTCTAGACTTTGGCATTTAAAATAATGATACAATCAGAATTGTTAGTGACTAATGCTTTAAATTAAAAAGGTGACACACTATTTATGACAAGCAGACCCTCACATACAGACCTGCATCCTTTTCTAGAGTCTTATTAGCTGGAAACACATTAAAAACAGAACACGGAAAATAGGAACTGTGGAAGTTAAATTAAATATTGACTTCAAAGAGATCCTAGGAGAGAACAAGGCTCCATAAGGGCAAACATAGCTGCACTTTCACATTTCAATTTATCATTCTTACAGTAGGAAATAACTCTTTGTGTGGTATTTTTAAAATCTGTTTGACAAATACATTTATGCTACCAGTGAAAATACTTCAAATTAATAGTATTAGGGCATTATTCAGCCTGCACAAAGAAACCAACATTTTCCAAGCAGGGTTTTCAGGATCCTTGTGAAAAGGTTCTCCACTGTTTCCAGGACAATTTGTGCAGCCACTTTATCTCCTTTCTAAGAAATAAATTTCTGAGTGTGTTACACAGGCAAGCAAAAATGGAAAGATTTTTTTTTGCAGCTTGTAGAGCACAATACTTGTATTCAAAGTGGCAGGTGAAAGAGTAAAAATAATTATTTGTGATTACTGGTGGTTTTCATTGCCATTGTGACTGCAGGGTCACAACGCTCTCATGCAGGGCACCACCCCCAGAGTCTGTGACACACGAACAGAGGGGATGAGCGCTTGCCAGGACTCCAAGGCTCAGAGCAGACAGGGAAACGTGCAGCACCAAAGGGGCGTGCAGGAGGGCACAGGATGCTGGGGGTGACAACTGCAGAAAAACTCTCCAGAAAATGCACCAGAGAAGATACACAATCATGTAAGATTTTATTTGATAAATAAATAAAATTAGCTATTCGGCTGCTGCACGCTCTGCCTCACCAGATAATTATCTGGCAGAAAACAGCATAGAGAAAAATATTTATTGCTTATTCTGACTTTTATAGTCAGAATTTGCTTACTAGAATACCACCGAATACCAGTTTACTACTTCACGTAGTTTACTACTTCACGTGGGAATGGACAGAAAGAACTCATAAGGAGCCAACAGAAGTCAACTCTGCTGGATCTCACTAGCCGTTTCCTAAACAAAAGTTGGTAGAAACCTTGCAATGGAAAAGGATATCAGTATTTTAAAATCATATTTTCTTTTGCACTTCTCCCCTGAGCTGGTTCAGTTATAGCAAACTGCTGTATTCTTTATGTCCCCTTCTCAGGCCCAGGAATTATTGCCAGTGATCCAGACATGGCAGAGGAGGGTGGAAAACACAAACCTGTGTGTCACTTTTGATCCCTTGAGTCATTTATTTTCTAATTTACCTGGTGATTTGGGGAACACAGCAATTGCATCTTATTTTTTTATTTCTGTGGCCATACAGACTCTTGAAACAGTGCAAACTGAGTTATTTAAAGCAAACGGAACATTTGGGCCCATGGAAATACACAACAGCCCCAGATAAAAATATTATTTTTAAAAAAATAATTATTTTTGCATCCTTTCTTCCCTAACACCACTATAAGCTTCACCAGGATACACATGATGTTGTAACTCTCATGAATTAAACCTTTACACACCCTTACACCAGCATACACCCAGCAGGGAAAGCCAGACTTGCCATGGGCAGAGAGACACCTTGACCTGTCTGCCATGGGGCTGGGCCTACCTGTGGGGCTGGGAACTCTGTGAGCATAAGCCATGTCACCATGATCACGTTTTACAGCTGCTCATCGTGGCTGCAGTTTCTTATTGTACTGCAAAGTTTTTCTACAGAGCATGAAACCACAAAAAATACAGCAGAGTTACCCTGCTGGCACCTCTTGCCAGTGCTTGATGCCAGTGTACTTACCCTTCTAACATCTTGGTTCTGAAATTTTCTTTTAAGCATACCTAGGTTTTAGGTATTAATAATAATATTTTTCATATATAAGGATGGTTCTCCAAGCAATTAATCCCGACGGGAACAGGAAGGATATGAGTTCCTACACAGTCACTCCAGATAAAGCACACTCACTAATTCCATGCAGAATGACTGACTGATTGAGACATACCCCACAGCTATTAAATAAGGAGCATTTTTGTTGGTATGAGGATGGAAGATCAGGCCTGATCAACAACTTCTCATCAAAATGTTCCTTTCTTCAATGAAATAACCATACTTAAATAAGCAGGAACTCTCAATGAGCTTTTACTCTGATCTTTTAAACTACTTAAACTACTTAGCTGCACATGGGGTCATGTGACCGCGAGACCAACTCAGCAAATGCAACTCAGGGTTTGTTTCTGATGGGGCAGATGGTAAGCCAGAGACAGTGCATTCAAGACTAAAGCAGGAGTGGGGCTAGCGGATGCCTAAGGAAAGCTGAGGGGGCTGCTTGCTGCAAGGAACAGGCCCACAGCCCACACTCCAAGATCATATAAAGAAGATTACAAAAAGAAGACTTTCAGAGGAGATTGTAAGCAAACTGTTCAACTCAGAACAAACATTGTCCAAGTAGAAGAGACAAACAGGCTCTATGCAGTCTCTTGGAGGCCTATTTTCATGATAGTTCTTGTCCCTGAACTATCAGAGAAGTCATTCAACATGCAAATGTGTAATTGCTTCTTTTCAAAGTTTAGCATTCACCTGCTCTAGTCATTACTGGACATACTGTCCAGTACACCTAAGTACAAGTACATTTAAACTGATGTGTGAAAATATTTATGACTACTGAATCAAGTGAAAGCCATCTGCTCATTAAAAAGCTCTCTGTCATCAACAGCATCCTAATAAGCTGCAACTCAGCTGCATTGAAGAAGTGGTACTTACAGCACTCTTAGAGACCTGAGCCCATTGAACGCGTGGACAGGAATGCACTGGAGTCTGTTGTAACTCAGGATGCTGGGAGAATGAGACAGGAGTTACACCACTGTATTTTCTTTGATTATTTCACCGCTAATTCAAGGACAAAGAAGCACGGAAAGCCACATGCTTAAGTAACAAGTTACAGACTAATTGATCAACATCTAAGATGGTGTCTGAAAAGCAATTAAAACTGTTATCAAAACTTTGGACTACTTACAGTGTTGATAACTGACTCATGTTGCTGAAAGTGTGGTTGGCCAATACGCTTATGCTGTTGTTGCTCAAGTCACTGCAGAAACACACAGGGAAAATACTATTTATATGTATGAATTGAGAAATAAGTAGTTTTTAAAGATCATATAATATCTGTACAGCAAAATTATTTAAGCAATTGAAGTCACATATTATCAAATGATACAGAATTTTCTAACCAACTCTGAATGAGCTCTAAAAGCAAAGCACAACAGACTCCCCTAAAAAGCTTCAGACTCAGAAATATTAAGGCATATTTCCAGCATATAACAAATTAAAAAAACAAATCAGCGAAGACAAGCAAAATTTTTGAAGAAGGTTGTATTAATAGATTATACAAGTGTGAATGAATATTTACTGCACCAACTTGCTTTGCAATTTATTACAGGCATACCATTTCCATATGCTCTTCATGTTGACAGCTACTAGAAAAATTTCATTTTTCATTTCAAAAAAGCCTTTTAAGCTCAAACAGAACATTATGTTTGGTTGCTGCTCTCCCTTGAAAAACAAAATTAGAGATGTTGCCAAATAAAACACTGTTTTCACAGAATCACGGAATCGCTCGGTTGGAAAAGCCCTCTGAGATCATCACGTCCAACCGTTCCTGTCTACCCCCTAAACCATATCCTTAAGTACCTCATCTACTCGCTCTTTAAATACATCCAGGGATGGTGACTCCACCACCTCCCTGGGCAGCCTGTTCCAGCTTCTGACGACCCTCTCAGTAAAGAACTTCCTCCTTATCTCTAACCTGAACCTCCCTTGGCACAGCTTGGTGCCGTTTCCCCTTGTTCTATCCCTCATCACCTGGGAGAAGAGACCAGCACCCACCTCTCTACAACCTCCCTTGAGGTAGTTGTAGGTGGTGATGAGGTCTCTCCTCAGCCTTCTCTTCTCTCTTCTCTTTTTGAAACAGAGGATTCCAGTTTTCCCCTCCATGTTGTTTTTGTCTGAGGTTGTTCTGCCCATTTGACTTGAGTATCTACAGCTGATTCCAACAGCATTTGAAAATTTCTGATAAATAATTCAGTCAAGAAATTTCACTCCTGTGTATTGCAGGGAGCAATTTACTGTAAAACAGTCTAGTTGTGTCTCTATTATGTAAGACTGTACATAGCAGAAACAGCTATGCAAATTTTCATTGCCTTAGCATTATAAATACTGTCTCGCTTAGAACAAATTAACGCTGTCTCCTGTGTTAATCACCTTTACAGCTTTGCACATACAAATCTGCCAAGTGAAACCGTAGCAGCCTGCATGAGACCTCAGTCCTCGCGTAGAGGCTGGAAGCTTCTGCAGAGGAGGGGTCTCTGGTGCTCCCACTCATCTCACTCTTTCCCCACTATTTATGAACACTTATTGGCAGCAGTGGCGACTGTGAAATTCTTTCCAAACTCAGATTACAGAAGGTTTTTGCGTTTTGTAGGTTTTCCCCTGCAAATTGTAATTATTTATGTTCTACCTAGAACACAGTGCAGAAAGACTCATGTAATTTTCTTGACATTGAAACCCCATGTTTCTTACATCAGTGTCAGGTGTCTGAAGGTGGAGAGCCCCTTTGGCACAGCAGTCAGATGGTTTCCTTCCAGGTATCTGAAAAAAGTCAGATTTGACAATTACACAAACATGTTAACAAGATCTACTCTCACTCAATCTGTCCCATGAATGAATGAGGAAAACATAAATTCAGTCACTAAGGAAATTATATTTGATTCATTGCTTTGAAACTGTAACAGATTCTCTAAGTGAATAACCCCACATGCAAAGCATTACAGTAGCTCATTGATTTTTTTTTAATTTTTAAAAGACTTGGAAGCAAATAAAGGATCTCTGGCCTACAGCACACAGAAATTAACATTTGGGTCTTCTGTGACAGCAACTGAAGAAGGGGAGAAAAATTCTATGGCTTCTGCCTGAAGATGCTGTTGCCTTTAACAGATTCCGTAAAAATGCTGAGTGCTGACTGATTCTGGTTTTTCCTCGTGTGTGTAAGTTCCTTGTACAACCAGAACTGGAAAAGGAGCCGCCCTGCCAGGTCTCTGTGTTGCAAAATGTCTCACTTATTCCAGTGTCAACACAAACACCCATGAGTTTGATGCCACAATTCCTACTATGGCATGTACACCACTGAAAGTGGCTCTTTTCAAACCCATGCGTAGTAGGACTAAAGCCTTTGGGGATAATACCGTGTCCTCATACAGACATTCTATGCCTCTATTCTGCAGGTTTTCTCCTCTGAAGAAACAAGAACATTCAGTAACCAAGGGAAAAACTCTGAACAAATATAATACTTCCCCATAGTTTGCCCAGAGGAGAACAAGGGTAGTCAAGACTCCACAGCTGAGCTGTGGTAGCAATGGAGTGTGGGGCTATTCCTATTTATTACAAAATAAGAGAGACAGAGCTGGGGTTCTCCTCCTTAATATTGGCTTTTGAGTGAAATTACATCCCTGGGAGACACCAAACTGATCAGGCTGCAATGGAGAGAGACTGCTGTGGTGCCCTGGTACTGTCAAGGCGATTCTCCAGACATCTGCCAGATGCTGCCTCTACCTGGGAAACAAATCCAACCTTTTCAGAAAGTACTCTGTAGGAGAAAGGCATTTCTCCCTCCACAGGTGAGGACAAAAGATAAAATGGTATTTCTCTTCCTTACAAGGTACTTTGGGGGATTTTTCCTGAGGTAGATGTGCGGCACTGTAATTGATGCAGCGAGTTTTGAAAGATAACCAAGTGCAGCCAGGAAATGCGGCCCCCAGACACCAGAACACTTTATGTGCTGCCTTTACTGCTGAAAATACAATCTGATAATCACATAAAGAATTTTTATGCCACACATGCAATTTCCTTTTCTTTGGAATCAGACCTCCTTATTCTGCATTTACTATAGCAACCAACAATAACAATAGACTATTACTGTTCCCTCTTTACATTAACTGTAACAACAGAGAGATATTTGTGTAAACTAAATCCAAGAAAATTTTCTCACAAACTTTATTTTTACATAATTTAAAAACAAAATCTACAAACACTAACAGAATTTCTTACATAATATATTTTATAACTGTCACCACCTTTTATCGCCCCCTCTTCTATTTCAACATAATGCCCTCTCATCACTTACTGCTGCTACAGCTCTCTTTTTAATTAAATTACTCTAACTAAACTCCCCCATCTTATGGTCACCCATTCTGCCTGTGTATAGGATCCCATCAAGGCACCTTGGAGCACGTGGTGGAGCTGACCCAGCTCCTGCAAGAACTAGGCAGGACAAGGGAGGCTACAAGCTTTTGAAAATTTGAGCCAAAAGCAAAATCCTTCCTGAATGGAAAAAACCTATTGAATTTATTAATCTCTCTGTTCACGAGGATCACAAGCACTGAGTGACAGTGTTGCAAAGGAAACAGTCAGTCCTTGCAAAGTAGTGGCAGCTGCTTTGCTGCTGCAGATTATCCCAAAGCAGAGTATGGGTCAGTTACACCACATTTACACCTCCATGGACAAATCTATTCAGCAAGTGTAAAGTCACTTGTTAGATTTTGACTAAATTTGGTAAAAAATATTTTGAAAATGGAGTTCCTTGGTGAATTCACATCATAAATTGTCACACAGAAGATCCTCAGAACTCAACCACATGTGTTACTATTTAAACAGGGCAAATAAGTCTCATTTCCCCAGTCACAGTCTGCTATGGGCACAGCAAACTATTGGGAGTCTGTGCCTTCTCTTTCATCCTAGAAAGCTGCAATCTTAAACCCGTGCATGAGGGTAGGTTAAGGTTCCAGTCTTTATTCCAAATGTAAAATCCAAAAGATTTTCAATCGAAATCAAAAGCATGGCGTGTATTAATGTGTCTGGAAGCTATATATGATTTTCCTTTAGGAAAGGAGACTCAATTCCTTCAATGTGTTGAAAGCTTCAGAAATATATTTTCAGGATATTCTCTTGTTGATCCCAATGTAAAAGAGCCTGCAATTTGTACAAACTGATGATGGCCAGCCAAGATTTATGCCCTGTTTTGCTTTCTTGTGCAATCAGAAGTCAAGGGTGCACATTTTAATGCAGTGCTTCATTATTCAGACTGCCAAGACACACAGACCTGCGGAGTTCAACTACTACAGAAGATCTGCTTTGAATAGCTTTGGATATGTACTGCAAGCAATTTGTCAGTTATATAAATGCGCTAGCAGAAAGCTGCAATACTTATACCAGTGGTATAATTTCTGAACAAACACAGTTTTACACAGAAAAATTACTCACAGTCTACTTTTCATGCATGCATAAGAACAATTCACCACTGTTAAACCTTTCACCATGTCATACAAAGAATGGCAGTATTTTCTAAGCACTTATTCTGAAAGCACATTGAAGTGCAATGAATTTGAAATAACCAGAGGTTTTAGTGCATAAAAGCATGCCAAGAATCAGGATCTCAGATGCAGCTTGTGAAGAAACCAATTGTTGCAGCCAAGCCGTCGCTGACCGCAGGCCAGGGCCCCGTCAGAGCAGGGAGGGGATGTGGGGGCAGCATCTCTGCACCTTGCAGGCCCTGAAGATGATGTATGGGACTGCAAGAGGGCTGAAAGCTGGACACAGTGAATAACAGAATTATTCTTGAGGGTGAGGGGGCAGAGTCCAACTACAAAACTTTATGCATTTATGTATACGCATACATAAATAAAAAAACATGGATGAAGCTCCAGACTCCCTGCCCAAACAAACCAAACCAAACCATAATAGAATGATGTGGAAGAAAGATTATATTTTGAAATCTTTTCAATCTTTAGCCAAAAGAAGATGATGTACATGGCATCTGGTATGCAAAGAAATTCTGGCATGAATGGAAAAAAAAAAAGTCTAATTTTAATGCTCAGAGTCAAGTTATTAATATACAGTCAGAGTCAAGAATGGGTGTCAGCTGCATTAATATGGACACACTAAATAGTACACAAAACAACCTTGTTGGCTTCCTAAAGTCTCTAGAATCTGTAGTTTAAATATTAGATTGGAAATTGTTTTCTACCACATGAATGTTGACGGGAATTCTTAAGTCTCAGTCATGACCTGTAACCAATAAACAATTACCAGAGCCAAAATTGAAAAAAAAACCCCAAAACCAACCAAAAACATGCGTTCATGTTCTCATAAAATGCCACCAACTACCTACACCAGAAAAGGCTTCTAAACATGACCAAGTGCTGCAGACAGGTGAGTGTTTGGCCAGGACACGGCCTGCACTGACTGGGCTGTCCCCCAGAGCCTAGTGCCTGCAGCAGCCCCGGGGCTCATCCAGCCCCTTCCACACACACTAACAGCACGGATAAAAAATCTTAAATTACGCATAAAAGATGACAGCTGTTCTTTTTCCAACTTGTCTATTTTTATACTGGAGCCACTTGGATTGGATGAGATATAACCAGTACAAGGCGTCAAAGCATCATGTAACGATCTGAAGCACTTGGAACCTTTTTGTACTCCAATGTCTCTTCAGGCAGAAAGTCAAGCTCCCAGTGGCAATCTGTGCTACGAGAAGAAACTGGAGAGAGAAATCAGTTCTCAGGCAGTAACTGAAAAGGCACAAAGCCTTTCATTTAATTTCTTTAAATATTTCATATTAAAAGTTATATTACCAAAAAAGATGATACCTGACAACTTTATGCAGCTCTACAATTAAGTTATAGCCTTAAGCTTTTTAATGCAGATACCTAATATCAAAAAATTTTAGGACAAGATTTATTTCCTAAAAGCAGCCGTCCAGAAGAGAACTGGACTGTGAAAGATGAAACATCCACAAGTGCAAATTTTAATAGCTTCAATTTTACATTTTCTTGAGAAGAAACAAAATTCAAACCTGGATTTTGAACTTTCTTAAGTTTTTGCAAATTTGGACTGCAGAGTTTTCCGTATTTGTTTGTCAGACCACAATGTACAGGTCTGACACAGAAACACGGCTGTGTTTGAGAGAAAAATGAAGGCACTAAATTAAACTTACCTTTAGTTTCTCTTAGTGGTGAAGTCACCTGTTCAATATGTACTCAAACTTCATCAGTCATTGGACACATTATTCGATAGTCTTTACCTTTTCTAAACTAGAAATACAGATCTAAGTCCTCTATTTCAGCTGCAATTATTCTACAGAACCATCCATTCTCTCAATGGGAAAATTTTCCTCTGCAGTGAATTAGGCAGGCTGTAAAACCTTTTATGACACAGGACATCATGTAAGCCCAAGCTTTGATCTACATTGTTTATCTCCTTTATTATCAAAGGAAAATTCACTGAAGTCTGTGTCAAGGGTCAGTGTATAAAACAGTGCAGATTGCCAGACAACCAAAAGCATTTGCATTTTCCAGAAGATTATTTTCATCAGGTAGCTCACTTCAGAATTATCCCTTTGATCAACAGCTATATCGGCATACGGAAAAATGGCACTAAATTGTTACAATATTCTAAGTGCATCAGAACCAACTGCTCAGAGCATATCTATTGCAACAATTTGCATGGCTCAGGTACAAATCACTGGTTTTAGTCACAAGTCAAGAGAAATCCCAAATGCCTTGGACGATGGAAAGGAGCATTCAGATTGGTGGTAAATACCGCCAAGCAGACATGGCAGCAAATGCATGGGAAGCAATCGGCAAAATCACCTTGGCAACTGGAGACTGAGCTGAATAAAGGTGCCATGCTACGGCTGAGGCAGCAACAGGCAGTGAATTAAAGGTAGGGTATACAGAGCTAAAAGAGAGTTGAAGGGGATCCCTCTGCTTATGAAAACTTGTGAGCCTGCAGGCTAAATGAACTTACCAAGCAGAACAAAAACCACGAACGGGAGAGAGACGGTTTGTGAGGAGAGAAAGAGAAACGGCAAAAGTAATGCAGATATTAATACATATTAACATAAATGGAAAAAAAATAATCACTAACAGCAACGTATGGATGCAGGTCGTCCTAACGATCCCATCAGTGCTATCATACAGATCAGCATCACAACAACATTTGGAGTCTAGAGATGACATGATCAGTACATTTTTATTCTAAAATACACAATGCTCATTATGTTACAGCTTATGCACACACTGTCCACATAATTGTCTCCAATGTTTTCCCTCAGTGCAAAATATTACTTGTTGGAGGTTTATAAAAGCACCTGGATGCTGTCAGATAAGACCTCACTAGAAATAGACTATAATTCTGTGGGAAAAAAAAAAAAGAAAAAAAAAGAGTATTCACACATGGAGGTAATATGTAAAAGGAAAAAGCACACAGGAAACTTAGTTCAAACAGATCTGGGGAGGAAAAAAAAAGCAGCAGCAAAGAAAAGTCTAAAAGACTAAGCAGCAGTAAGGCTAAGTTCCAAACTGGCTCACTGCATGAACATTCTACTTCTGAACATCTGGATTAGAAAACAGAAAATGTTCAGAAAACCCAAGGCCTCTCTTCAGAGCAAGCAAACAGTGGGAAAAAATGTGGGCATTCTGTAAATATAGAGCGAAAGGAATTTGCAATAACCAAGAAAATATTTCCTTATTCCCAAGAAGCCGAAAGAAGGCTTGCCCACGATCACGGGGCTTTGCGAAGGAATAGCTGGGAAACAGAAATTTCTCGCATCATCATCCCTCTATAAAACGAAGAGACGTGATCTTTTCAACTTCATTGTGAATGGAAGCCTTCCCTGCCAATTTAATCCCTCCTCCCAGGGGCGGTACAAACTAAACACAGGGATGTCTCCTGTCATTCCAAGCTCTAAATAGGAAGAAGATACCGGTTTTCACGTTTTGTCTATATACACATCCAAAACAGAAACTAAGGAAGAAAGTTAGAAGGAGCAAGCCTATGTCTCCAGTCCACCACGTAATAAAAGAACACTGGTGATCTTTTTTTGCTTGAGCTTAGGTACAATGAAATTTGACCCAGCAAAGGGTAACATTTTCCTTACATGCTCGTGCAAGAGGTATGTTCATTTTTGCACACTGCTACTTAATACCTGTTACAATGAAAGGATTCCTGTTCTAAGACTATTTTAAGACCTCTAAAAGAATTTAAAAGAACTTCTGAGAAGGCTATATTCAGCTATAACAGACTGGATTATCCAGATACATGGCAGTTCTTTTTCTTAAACCATGTTGTATAAAACTACACTGTAGTTTAATAAAAGGCACTGCAGCTAAGGTGCCTTGTAAATGGATACATCAATAATGGACATTTATAAATGTCAGAGTGGTACATTCATAAAAATTCCACTAAAATGTCTCCCTGTGTCACATCATTGTTTGGGCCTGGTGCAGGGAGGGTGCTGGGGTCTGCCAGGACAAGAGACTCTTTAGGCCTGATCTCTCCTTGGCACGGCCTCCATCCTTAGCAGCTGCGGTTTGGTGCAGGTGCCTGATGGGTGCATAGTAACCTCATCATGGTGACCCCAGTTTCAAGTGCTAAACATTGCCACCACAGAAACAAAACAGCTTTAAGATACTTCAACCCTGGGAGACAGCGTGAGAGATCTAGGACTGCCCTAGGGAAATGGGGGTATTTTGGTGTGAGGAGGGTAAATAGACTCAACAAGATAAAACTCTTTCACCCTGTTCCCAGAAAGCTATTGGGGTTTCTCTGCTAAGTCTCAGAGGGAAGAGGTGGGGTTCCACAGAAGATGCTGTTTGCCACAGCAACAATGACCATTCTCAAGCACAGAACAATAAAAATACTTAAGTTCACACTAGCAACTTGGGACCTAGATGATACAGTCCCTTCTAGATTATGCAACATCCTTATCTCAATCTGGAAGCAGAAGGAAGGCAAGAAAGATGGATTATTTTTTATTTCTTTATTTCATTCTAGTCAGTTTCCACAAACACATGAAATTTTTAGTTTCGGTATCTGCAGCTCATCTTTTGGCATAGATACAAATAAGGAGCTCAGTTTATGTTGGTTGAGAGGAGAGTGAGATCAGGATTGAATTCTGAGACAGCTGGGACAGTTTCAAGGTTGTATTTTCCAAACATGAAACATTCAGAGCGTGCCAGTCCATGGCTGCCAGTGTTCTGCTGACACATTTCTGGATTGAAAGCAGAAAGCCAAACAAGAGGTTTGCACAGCCAGAAGGCTCCTACTGCAGAAGACAGTAACATAAACTCCTGTGAACTCAAACTGCTCAGTTCCAGGCTACTGCCTCATTTGCCAAGAAACAGTTTAAGAAATATAGCAGTTTCAAGAATGTGAGATTAATTTCACTCTTTTTGTGAAACTTATGTCATCAATGTATCAGACAGTATCAGTAAAAGCCAATATGCAAAATTTAAACATAAAAATTCCTCAGTGTGGCAGTGGAAATCAAAGTAACATCTGTGATATCTTACCGTTGGCAAGTCATAGTTGAATGCAATGAAACCTGAACAAGAACAGAGGAGAAACTACCTTGCAGACTTTTTATCACTGATGGCAACATATAAGGGAATACAAGCCAGGGCTTGACTTTTAAGTCAAACAACCATTAACCACACCCTTGTTAACAGCGTTTGTTAATGCAAAATTTCCATGTTAATTTGAGTTACTACATACACTTTCAATACACTCATCATTCAGCAACGAAGTCTTGTATTTGATTACAACACTGGTAAAAACAGTGCAAACCCCATTCTCCCACCGTGAATAGAGTAAAAAGATGTCAGTCTCACCTCTGTACCAAGGAAGATCATGGAACAGATCTGCCTAGAAGACATGCAGCATGGCTTTACTAGGGGCAAGTCCTGCCTGACCAACCTAGTGGCTTTCTACAATGGAGTAACTGGATCAGTAGACAAGAGAAGAGCTATAAATGTCATCAGTCTGGATTTCTGCACGGCCTTTCATGCAGTCCCCCACAACATCCTTCTCTCTAAGCTGGAGAGGTATGGATTTGATGGGTGGGCTGTTCAGTGGATAAGGAACTGGCTGGATGGTCGCATCCAGAGAGCAGGGGTCAACGGCTTGATGTCCAGATGGAAGATGGTGACAAGTGGTGTCCCTCAAGGGTCTGTACTGGGACCGGCGCTGTTTAATGTCTTCATTAATGACATTGACAGCGGGACTGAGTGCATCCTCAGCAAGTTTGCTGATGGATACCAAGCTGGGTGTTGAGGTTAATGTGCCAGAGGGATGGGATGCCATCCAGAGGGACCTGGACAAGCTGGAGAAGTGGGCCCAGGTGAACCACAAGGCCAAGCGCAGGGTCTTGCACTTGGGTCAGGACAATCCTCATAACCAATACAGGCTGGGAGATGATGTGCTGGAAAGCAGCCCTGAGGAAAAGGACTTTGGGGTACTAGTAGATGAAAAGCTGGACATGAGCCACCAATGTGCATCCTGGGCTGCATCCAAAGAAGCGTGGCCAGCAGAGCGAGGGAGGTGATTCTGCCCCTCCACTCTGCTCTGATGAGGCCTCACCTGGAGTACTGTGTCCAGCTTTGGAGTCTTCAACACAAGAAGGATGTGGACCTGTTGGAGTGGGTCCAGAGGAGGGCCACAGAGATGATCAAATGCTGGAGCACCTCTCCTACAAGGATAGGCTGAGAGAGTTGGGGTTGTTCAGCCTGGAGAAAAGAAGGCTCTAGGGAGACCTTATAGTGACCTTCCAATACCTGAAAGGTGCCTATAAGAAAGCTGGGGAAGAGCTGTTCACTAGGGCATGTAGTGATAGGACGAGGGGTAAAGGTTTTAAACTAGAAAAGGGTAGATTGAGGTTGGTTATTAGGAAAAAAGTTTCAGTATGAGGGTGGTAGATCAGTGGCACAGGTTGCCCAGAGAGGTGGTGGAGGCCTCATTCCTGGAGATATTCAAGGTCAGGCTTGATGGGGCTCTGAGCAACCTGATGTAGTAACATTGTCCCTGCCTACTACAGAGGGGTTGGACTGGATGATCTCTAAAGGTCCCTTCCAACCCAATACATTCTGTGATTCTATGTGTATCTCATTCATCAACTGCCTTGTTAGTAAATAGTAAAAATAATACTAGATACTAAAAAAAAAAATCAGATTTTAGTTCATTACAAAATTCACTGAACATCAACTAATTCTACCAATTGCTTTCACATAGAAATGCTGATGAGTTTGTAACAAGTATCAGTAACAACTCATCTGGAATAGATTTGAATAAAGACCTAAACAAAACACATGGAAAGCACCGAGGCACAAAACATCAGCCACTGAAGTCAAAGGCAAAAGCACCAAGAACCTACAAAGCCACACTATGATGTCATTTCATGAATTTCTCATGAAAGAAGCTATGTAAAAGGAAACTTACAGCTCAGTCACATCCTTGGGAATTCCCTTGGGCAGCATTCGCAGCCCTTTGTTGCTGCAGCGTACCACTGAGTCCACACAGGTACACTGGGGAGGACAAGGAGGGGAAAGCAAGCAGCTGCTTTCATCATTACCTGCAGAGGGAGAGACACAGAGCATTAGGATGTCAGTTTTACAGCCCAAAATCATGCAATTTGCAGAAAACTGCTTACAGGGACCAAGAAGGGACGTTCTTGAACCCATGGAAACCACCAGAATAAGTTAAAGTAGATTGAATGCTTTGGATCAACCTGCTTTTGTATGTGTTCTTTAGGCAACATGAAGAAGAACTAAAAAACTGAGTAGCGATATTTAATTACAGTAAAATCAGTGAATCCCAAATCCTCCTCTCACCACCAGTGTACCAGCTGACATGGAGAACTTGACCAGAACATTGCCCTTAAATTCATTTAGACAGATGATATTCACTATCTACTCTGCTTTAGGAAGATTTCTTTAATATTCAGCTTTTAAATGTCTTTTTTTTTTTTACTTTTTCAAGTCAGCTTGGCAGTTCATTTATTATCTGAATTGTTAAACCTCATTATCCTTGACAAAGATAACCAAGCAAAGAACAAACTAAGCAGCATACTTCCAACTACTGGTGACCCATCTGTGCACACAGAAAAATATCTACTTCCTCCACAACGGCTTCAAAGGTCCATTAACACCAGATTACATCTTTTAATTGAAGAACAATAGGGTTTCTGCAGGAGTAAACAACTCTTTGAAGCTGAGAACATTAAAGCATGGATTTTCCCCAAAAGCAAAGGGCTTTGCAAAGTATAAGGCAAAAGCAAGTGCCAGTATTGCGATGTCTATGAAAGGAAATATTTAGCAGTGCAGCTACTAGATGGCAGTGAGAGGAACCACACCACTGCTTGGGAGTAACAGGCAGCCTGCGTTGTCCAGCAAGGAAGCACAGTGCTGCAATTCAAGAGCACACAGGAAGCTGTCGTTAGGTGCTGCTTTTTTTAAAAAAAAACAACTTATGCAAGAACTAATTGTGACAGATCTGTTTCTTTCTTCTCTCTCCTGGATGCACCCATGAGCACTGAAATAAAAGAATAAGACTTGCAGTCCTGAATACAAGATAACAAAATCACCCATAAATGTAGGGGTAGGGAATCATTTGAACTCAGAGGGATGGAGAAGCACAACCAGCCTGCACAAGAACAGGGAAGATTTTGTTTTTCATTTACTCCCGGGCTAAGCTTAATGAGCTTAATGACTGGAAACAAAATTCAAAGTCTTTCATAAGGCTGTGGAAAGAGCATGTTTCTTCAGCACATCTAATTTTCCCCTATGTTCCACGTTTTACACCCTGCCACCACGTACCTTTCAATCACCATGGCTGTTTGAGCAACTGTATGACAGAGAAAGCTCCCAAGCACGGAATGTCATTTTATGGACCAGAACTTATTTATTTTTCTCCCAGACTAAAAGTCAATTATTCTTTAATGATTAAATTTGGGTCCCTTGAGCTCTGAGCCCAAGCACCTGGGCCTGCTGCCAGATTGCCAGACTAGGACAGGAATTAATTTCTATTCTAAGTAGGAAACTTCTATCACTTTTATGGTCTCTTTAGAGGCAAGACTAACTGCAGCTCCAGCATAACTGGTGTTAACAAGCAATCACTGCCTACAAGTCAAGTCAGCAGTGCATTCATCAGTGATTTTTTTCTCATTACTATTTTCCTTAAAATCTGCTTGATCAGAAGACAAAGAACTACCTGGAGAATGAAAGAAATGTCAGGATTTTTTTTTTTCTAAACCTATATGGACTCAGCAAAGTATTAAGCATCTCTGAGCCATTCAAATAATATCTACATTTTTTTGTTTTCCTGTATTCATTATTGGTGTTATTGGTGAAAGTGAACTGTATCCAAAACTAAAAGACTTTCCAAGCAAGCACTGTTCCCACTGGCTTCAGAGTGCTAACTAAGTGTATGGATAAGCAAGTGGGAGGACGGGCCAGGATTACACTAGGATTATGCAAAGCAGAGCATTGGTCTATAATAAATTAATTTTTGTATTTAAATTCAGAAACTGAAAATCAAGATAAAAATAAACTCCTGATAGAGAACAGTGATCTTCAGCTGTGGATGGCTGTTCTCCCCATCACTAAACTGAAAAGTTTACCATGCAATATTGCTTGATAGGGAGGTCCTCACAGAGGTGCCAACATTATCATTGTCGTGGTGTAGACCCAGTGGGCAACTGAGCACCGTGATGCCCACAAAAAGGGGCTAGACAAAATAAGGACTGGGAGGGCTTTGCTCACCACTTAATGGTCGTGGGCAGAAGACAGACTCATCATAGGGAGAAAAAACAAAACAAAACAATTTTTAATTTGTTACCAGATTAGAACAGTGAGAAATACAACCAGATCTTAAAGTCAAACACCTTCTTCCACTCCTCCTTTCTTCCTAGGCTCAGCTTTGTTTCCAGGTTCTTTACCACCCCCCTTTGCCCAGCAGCATAGGGGTGTGGGAATGGGGATTGTGGCCCGTTCATCCCGTGTGGTCTCTGCTGCTCCTTCCTCTTCAAGGATAGTGAGGACTCCTCTCACTCTCCCTCTGCTTCCACGTAGCACCCTTCCCGCAGGAGAAAAGTCTTCCACAAAAGTCCAATGTGGGTCTGCCCACGGTTGCAGTTCCCTCACACACAAACTGCTCCAGCACTCACTGCCTGGAGTCACGGCCTCTTCAGGGGCAGCCACCTTCTCATATGGATCTGTCCCACCGGTGAACATCCACAGGCTGCAGGCAGTCGACCTGCCCTCTCTCCACAGGTTGTAGGAGGAACCTTGGCTCCGTGCACCTCCTCTTCCCCCCCTCCTTTCTTCCTTCACCGACCTTGGTGGTTTGCACAGTTGCTCTCCTCACATCCCTCTCCTCTCTCCACTGCAGGTCTCTTCTGATGGTTCTGAAGAGTTCCTGGCTCTCTCTTTCGGGTTGGAGCTGCAGTGGGGTTTGAGCTGAAGTCAAGGCCGGGCCAGGGCCGTGGTGGTCGAGGACAGTGCAAGAGAGAGAGAGAGAGTGGGACATGTGCTGCACCCCCCTTAAATACATGAATTTGCAGGGGCCCTGATTGGTTTGGACCAGGTCAGAGGTGGGGGAGCTTTCTAATAGCTTCTTACAGGGCTATCTCCATAGAACTTTCCCAAGCTACCAAAAACAAACCAAAACCCCTCACAGAAAACCCAATACATTCATAAATGTCAAATCAAATTGGATTTTCTTACCATCACAGGTGAAGTCCTGGACATCCACATCTTGGATTGGAATATCCTTTAGGAAAAAGGGTTTTAAGCAGCGTGGATTTCCACTGACAATTCTCTTCTTCCTCAACCATTTTCCCAGCCAGGCCAAATGGCAGTTACAATTAAAGGAGTTAGCCAGCAAATTGCTGAAATGGAACAAGACATAATTGCATCAAACATGAACATACAGAAATACTGAAATAACTACAGAAAGATTATGAAGTTCCAAGTCCAAGCTCTTTTCTGTCATCTGTTTCTGTGAGATCCTCCTTTGTTCCACAGATCAGGAAAGTTCTATGCAGGTTTTATACTAGGACTAGGGTTGTTAGTAATACATATGTACGTATAATTGTTTATAAACCAAAGCACTTACAGCTACAACCATTATTTAGATGTACTTAGATCACTACCAGAGCTGTACTTATAGTAGAGTTCAACCCAAGCTATACCTCACATCCAAGTCTAAACTCACCTCACACACTGCACTCACGGATGCATGACCTGCAGTGTCATTACTCCAGGTAACGCCACAGAACAGTTTAGCCTTTTAACAGTTTAGCAGAGACCTATGCATAACTACATGTACTTCCCACACGTACAGCCAAGGTGTCTCAGCACACTGCTCCTTGCTCCAGATGCTCATGCTTTCCACTCACCTGTGCTATAGCCTATCCAAACCAGTGCAAGGTGGGAGCCACTGGCAAGCAGAATTTGTGTTTCCTATTGAAATAGTAAGGATAACACTCTGCATGTACATACATACATAGATACAGCAGCACTGTCAGCTTGAGCCACTACATATGAAGCTTTCTAAGGTCAGTACATCTGTAGTGAAAAGCGTCTGCTCTGTTGCCTTGTGAATTTTGTGAGATCTGCACTAAATCTTGCTACAGCTCCTGAAAAACCTTTTGAATGCAGTCGCAGCCTAGCTGTGGTACTGCGGTGTGCAGCACTCAGAGTGACCACTTGACAAGCTCCATGAGAGGGATAGATTCTTAATGTACCTTAGGTTAGCAGCGGCTAAAAAAGGAAAGCCCTATCCATCCTGTTGTCAAGCCATGAAAGCAGATGTATAGCAGTTTCTCAGTTGTAACACCTGTTCTCACCTGTGACATAGCCAGAATAGAAAAGATATTACTTATTTCTATTTCTTAATAGGTTGTGATCCTTTGAATGAAAGGAGTGTAAGGTTACTTAAAGTAGCCATCTTTCTAGGCTAACTATAATTAGTACTGAGAACCTTGGAAAAAACCTTTTTTTCCTGGAGTCATATACTGAAATGCCTATCCATGATTTGAGTCATTTTTTCATGACTAAACTTCAGATGAAGAAAAGACGCTGATATTCCTGGTTAAAAAAAAAAAAAAGGCTAGCTATCTTATGTACAAAGACAGGGAGAATCAATAGCCTCAGACTGAAGTTGCCTCATGGAAGAAAAATGAGCCCCATGTACGGAAAATGAAGTATCTAAACTAAAACACAGGAATGTGTCCGACAGTTATGATTTTGGCAGTACAGAAAAAATGATGGTAGGATTCAAAGGCAAGGCCAACTTGCTGTGTAAAGGTGAGAGAAGGAACAGGTTACAGAGGGGCATTCAGACAGAACGTTCAGAAAGGCACTGAAAGTGTTACTCTAATTCAAATTCGATTTTTTTCCATTTCCTGTAATCCATAATGGGACCACATGCAGGATGCCTTGTATATTTTCCATACTGACGTACTTTGGCATGAGCAGTGTGTTTAAACTTCCAACGCTACGTGAACCGATGCTTCAAAGGCCATTTGTTCCACTGATGGAAGAGTGAGATCATATTCACAGAACAACTTCCGTGAATGAATCCTCAGAATGAAATAATCCACAACTGGAAACCAACAGCAGGTGTGTATAATTAGTAATTATCCCTTTCTACAGAGGAGAGGCTGCTTTGACTTAATGTGTTACTGCTCACTATCTGAGCACCAGTAACTATTCACAACCCCTCATTTTCTTCTTGGCAAACACAGGTTAACATATGTCCTAAAATTTGGATAAGAATTTGGATTATGCTTTTTTTTAGGAACTAAGAAATAAATAAGTTGTTATATATGAAATTAGCAAACACAGAAATGAATATATTGGTTTGCATTCAAGTAACACTGGGGAAAAAAGGACAAATTTATCTTGCCATGCATTACACACATCCTCCTGCCACTTTAGCAGCACCTAAATTTTGTCCTTTGTCCAACTGCTGAGTAGTGATGTTTTGCTTTAATGTAGTATGAAGTTCATACCTGTCTCTACATACATGCTCCTTCCATGGCAAGACTGTGATGCAACTTCTGGAAAAAATGTAAGATCAAGGCTCTTTATACTTTATAAAGTATCATGTGGGACAAGAGATTCCCTACTTCACTTGAAAAGCAGCTGAAAGTCTGGAAAGGTGAATTATTTTGAAAATCTTTATTTCAGAATCTGGATATTGAAGTGCAGTTCTCAAACTGCAGGCAGTAATGTTGGGCAGAAAAACTTGTAAGAATTCATAGTTAGTAATCAGAGTTCCTACATGTAAGATAATGATTTGACCACTCACACAGAAACAAAGCAATCAAGCTTTTAGCAAAGATGTCAGACTAACATTACATTCCAAAGTGTTTACTTGAGGAGACAGACGTATTTTAAAATCAAGGGGTAACAAAAGTCTTGAGGAATTAAATATGCATATCCTACTACAAGTGTCTCCTGAAAATTGCACAGAATATTACAAGCCATAGAATATTAACTGTTTTAATGGATTCTAATGATCTGTTAGGAAAACATGCTGAAATGCATCTGGATATTGTTGAAACTGGGGGAAAAGATATCCTGGAATTCAAGTAAAGTTTATACTAGAATGTAATTCTGATGAATCAGTTATCATTCTGGCATTAGCTCCATGCAGTTACTACAATAATAATTCATGGAAAATCAGTTTTGCTTGCAAATATGCCCACTTGACTGTGTAAGGCCTGAAAGACATGAGTGAACTCTTTGTATGCAGAAGTTGAAGCACACTTCAAATTAGGATACTGCAGTACCTAGTTTGAACAGTAAGAAAAATAAAAACTGCTATTTTTTAAACAATAGCTTACAAAACAGATGTTCTTCCTGTATGAAAACCATTACTCAGGGCATTATTTTCAGAGCTGTCTGCATTTTGATAATATAAATGAGGGTGACTCACAAAGAGTAATAATGAAAGGAACAATATTTTTTAGTGCTGTAAATATGCCAGAATAAAAATGGAAATGTTAAACTTTGTATGAATTTCTGGCACACATTAATAGATGCAGAAATGAGTCACTACAATACCCGATTAACTCACAAAGTGTTGGCTGAACAGGAAAAGCAGCCATACTATGTCTTCAGTAGCCCTGTCATATAATTTACCCACCTACAAGATAGTACTGCTAGGAAATGAACACATTTGAATTTTTTATTTGTATGTGAAATATCACTATGGCCTAAAACCAATGTCTGAAGAAGTCAAAAGCATGCTTTCTCCTGTCTGTAGATCAAGCAGAGAGTGAAAATGTGTCAAAGAACATACTTATTCATCAAGACTAGGAACTCGCCATGACCTACATGACTATAAGTCAGTGTCAAGGCAATGCATTCTAATTAGCAACAGTTTTAATTGCTGCTGCTAGAAATCGTAATAATCATTATACACAGGAAATAAAGAAGAAAATAAGCCAATTGTGTGAGAAGCAGGCAGCACTGAGAACAAGCTTGCAATAAGGACCACTGACTTGAAAACAGTCAATAAAAATAGCTTGGTTTTGTTTCTCTCTTTGTCCATCAATTTCAAGGAGGCTTTTGGGACTACAAAAAGTAAATGGAAGAAAAGCCTGGGTTCTTAATGTTGCAAGGAGCTAATGCCAAAATGGTAACTGATTTGCTGCTGAAAAGTTGTAACAACAAAATGAAAGTGGGCAGCAAAACGGCTGAGATTCAACACTACTTTTTTCTTCCAAACACGATAGAGAATGCTTTCAAAATCTGAAATGCAATAGCACCAATAGTTTATTTTGACTGGACAATTAGGATGTATTTTCAGGTCAGTGTGAGGGGAATGAAGCAGACAACTTCCATTAACAGCAACATCAGGGTCCCCATTTGCAGCTGGAAACAAAGAGCAGGCTTCCTTTCCATATTTATCAGTATCTACTTTATTAAAATGGACACACTACAAAAAGCATGTAAACATATTTAAGCGGCAAGGGTAATACTTCAAAGAAGAATTGAGAGATATAGGAGAATTATCAGAAAAGCTTAGGTTGGCATTTTCAAATTCACATTCAGTAGGACTTGAGGATTTTGTCCTCTTAGACTCTTCTGAAAATTGAAGCATTAGCTAGTAGATTTCTTCTGATATTTAAGTAATTTAACTGAAATACAAAAAAACCTATTCTTTCGAAATTAGACTCTATTGAAACGAAGGCAGCTTCAGGGAGCTAAAGAGCTCCCTGAATAATAAGCCACACACTTCTGAATCTGCAGAAATTGTTTTACATGAACTTCTACTGTGCACTGCACTAGGCTATGGCACAGCAAAACATGCAGTCATCCTACCCAAGGCTGGCAGCATCAAAGTTTTTTCAGCATCTCCAGTTCAAGCAACTCAGCTGTTTATTTAAATCACACCTTGAATTTTACAAACCTGCCACTTCAGTAGGATGGCGCC